ATTTTGTCATATAGATGTTAATTAAGTGTGTTTTTATTCAATTTACAATAAAATTATTAGAGTTTACTAACATAGTTTTAATATAAGTATTTAAAATTTATTTATGAGTTGCTTTTGCAATATTAAAATATTAAGTTAGATTAGCTCAAATTCAATAATTTGTTTACTTTTAAATTATACCCAGTACTTAATATTGGTACTTTGTTATCAATTATATAATTTATATTTAATTAAATGTACAAATTTAATAGTATTTAATACATAACAGTATATACATTATTTATTGTAAATAATTAATTCTCTAAGCATTACATTATTTTTTTATTAATATACGCTATTTACAATATAATAATGTCAATTTTAATTGTTTATTGGTTAAACCTTGTAATCTTGAGTCATTATAATAATAAAATATATAATTAGTTCATTTTATTAGTGTATTTATTTGGGGAATAGCGTGGCGTAAATTAATAATATTAAAAAAGAGTTTAAATAACCAGTTTATTATAAAAATATTACACATGAAAGGGGGAAATTAGGATTAATGTATTGTTTATGTAATATTATATATGATAAAATATAATAGTAAAATGTTTTGTAAAAGAAAATGAAGGCAATTTTGAATATGTATATAAATTAAATGATAGGATTAGCGACCGTGTCTTCTAGCTTTGTTCAATTGTTCAATAGCTAAAGCGTGACCTCTGTTAGCAGCATCGGTAATATTCCTCATTGCTAATTCTCTATTCATTCGTACTCCTCTTCCCTTTGCATAACAGACACCCACATGATAGAGTGCTTTAATGTTACCTAAGTCAGCGGATTTTTTATAATGTTCAAATGCTTTAACTAAATTCTTATTGGGGTTCTCTTCAGATGCGTAGTACATACCTAAATGATCTAAAGCATCGGAATCATTGTGCTCAGCAGCTTTTGAAAGGTAAAGTACGGCATTGTCCCAATCCTTTTCAACTACACCATCTTGTCCCCAGAAGTAATAATAACCTAAGTAGTAATCAGCCTTAGGTTCGCCTCTCTTGGATAAAATTTGGAATAAACGCATAGCTTCAGCACGTTCGCCTTTAGAATGGTGTTCAACAGCCTCTTCTAGTGTAACTTCAGGTTCATTGTCTTCATCTCCCCAAATATCGTCATCCAAGTTCTCCATATCAGCATCGAAAATTCTAGTATCGTAAGAGTTATCAGGAGGTGCACCAAAGAGATCACCATCTTCTTCATCATGAAGATAGACATTTGTTTCCATCATGTTTTGCATTTTATATTCAAACTGTTCACTAGGTTTGATTTCGTGTTTGGGTGGATCTTGAGGAGGAGCAGATGGCTTTGGAAGATTGTTACTGACAGGAGGGGCAGAAGGGATTGATGCAGAGCTATTAACAGAGCGTGTAGATGGTGATTCTGGAGTATGTGAGGGTGCTGTTTCAGACAAGCTTAATTCGGCGATTTTTTGAGCAATATCTAGACTTTGGGGTCTATCTGGGTGGTTATTGCCACCATTGGTAATAGTAGTAGCGGAAAGCATGCTAGAGCTAGCGCTAACAGGGTCATCGAGAGATGCTTGAGTAAGATTTTGATCAAGAATGAAAGGAACTTCGACAGATAACTGAGTGTTGCCTTCAGAAGGAGAAGCCAGTTGATCCAATTCATCTAAAAGCTCAGGGGCTTCAGGACGTAATGAGGGATCTTGCTGCCAGCAAGCCAAAATAATAGGTGAAACTTCAACAGGAACTTGTTCAATCTTTTCACGACCACCACGAACGACAAAGTCTTCAATGGTTTGTTGACTAAGAATTTCATAAGGATATCTACGAGACCAAATGGACCATAGGACCATACCAATACCGTAAACATCGGCTTTAGTAGTGAAACTGAAGTAGTCCTTCATTTTTTCAGGAGGAATCCAGCGGTAACGATCAGATCCATCGTCTTCTACTAATGCAGTTCCGCTACTTTCTTCACGACTGAATTCGAAGCCAGAAAGCTTAGCTCTCCAATCAGCAGTAACTAAAACACTACTACTCTTAATATTCTTGTGTAAAATTTGCATTTCATGTAAGAAAGCAACACCTTGGGCAATATCAATACTAAAGCCTAGTAATTGATCCCTATCCAATGCAGTTTTAGATTCTAATAAATCTTTAAGGTTACCATTTTCGGCATATTCAGTAACCATACCCAATTGAGTACCACGAATACAAACACCGTAGAATTGGATGATATGGGGACAGATGGATAGTTTCTTGAGAATAGCAACTTGCTTACGTACATTTTCTAAAACCTTACCGTCGCCAATTCTTTCACCAAATATCTTTTCAGCAACTTCTTGACCCAAGTAGACTCTCTTGAATACATGGTAGCGTCTACCTTGACGAGGTGGTAAACCAGGGATTAACTTGAGTTGTCTTCTAGAGATTTCTACAGAAGCTAGAATATCTTCAGAATTATGCTTATCCTCTTGAACATCTCTAATTTCTTGCATAAGCTCCTCCTTTTGTTGACCTGTAGCATCAATATCATCTTTAAGGGAGCCTAGACGTTGAGCAATATTAGATAATTGACCTCTAGATTCCTCAATTTCATTTTCTGTAAATTGGGCGCTATCTTGGTTACTAGAACTATCCTTTACCGATAAACCTAAGTTTAAAACTGAAATAGCTTGATCTATATCGATAAATAGTCTATAAAAAGTTTTTTTATGCTTATCGCTATTAACTAATCTAGAGAATAAGGATTTGCTTTCGAAATTTCTTAAAAATTGCCAGCAAGAGTCCATAACACTTACGTAATTACGAAAAGCAGCATTGTAACTTGGCATTTCAAAATACTCGCTGTTATTATCGTATTTATCTTTTAATTCTTTTAAGAATTTTTGGGAAGTAGCTACTTTTTTACATAACTTATCACAAATTGGTTTACTATGCTTAAAACGAGTAACTAAAACTATAATAGAGTCACCTGTATGGATTGACTTGTGTAATAGAGTAGCAGTTGACTCTGACATATTTTTCTTTTAATTAATTAATAAGAAATCTTCTTTAATTATAAAAGTTTTTGTTATTAAGGGTTGAAGAAGAAGAGTATTGAACTAAAATTGAGTTAACTCTTAATATTTATAAAAAAATAAAATTATGAGACACAGTCAAATTTACTGATGTATACGGTGTTTTACTCGTTTAAACTTAATTCCTATTGGTTAATTATATCAAATAATTTGATTTAGGGAGCTATGTGTGAGTGGTTATTCTAAAAAAATAATTGGTAATTATCAGCTGATCTAAATTAAATATTATTGTAACCTATTCTTTTTTCTATACATTCTTTTTATGTGATACACATAAGTTTCCCTCTTTTAATAAAATAGCTAGAGCCTAATAAGCCATAAATAAGATATACTAGTTTAGCAATCTTAAGGAATTGTAATTTTAATTTTCGATATATGCACCGGAAAAAATAGCTAATATTTTATCCAGTTGTTTGATTTAAATTAAAGCCTTATTTTCTAAATATTTTAATTTGTAGGGTAAAAAAGTAGAATACTAAAGTAATGGTAACGTAAGTTTTCTATTTATTATAGATTATAATAGCTTATATAAAATATAATTAATATGATAGAAGAAATTATAGATAGAAAATAATATATAAAATTTAAATTATTTTAAGTCAAATTTTAATTAACAATCTAAAATAAGCATTAACTTACTAAAAAATAAAAACATTGTTATATTGTTAAACTGGTAATTTCCCTTTAGTTATGAATTACTAACAACAAAAAGC